ATGGAATCCGCCGCTCTCACCCATCTCGACTGTAGGCTACTGGGAAAGAAGCAGACCAATAGCTCAATGGTAGCTACCGAGTCCCAGTCAGCAGTGAAGTGCATTTTGGAAAGAACTGTGTGACAATTCTCCATTTGTATGGATAGACGTGCTAAAGAATCATGATCATGCGCTAGGGGTTTCAGATCGACGAGTAAACCGACATTCAACGATCTGGCCACTACGTGGCATTGACCAAATAGATCACGGAGAATGCCCCTAGTCTTGTCGTAGGCACTTTCAGGGGGCAACATTACACATTCGCTGCTGGCTTTTTAGCCCGGTCTTCGCAATACTAACTCAAATAGAGCAACCTTTGACCCCCATCGGCTACCCGGTCTTCAATGAAATATTCAAATTGTCTCATAAACCTCCAGTAATCTGAAGGACTGCCATCAAAAAACTCCAGTTCGATCCTAGGCAGGTCTAATCGTGGACGTTAATCCTCCCGCAAACTGTGGGGAGAAGATTTAAGGCCAGTTACTTCAAGCACCGACCTGCGGCAGTCTTCAACGAACCGATCCATTTGTTCATTCCTAACTACCGGCAACTGACTGAGAACAGCGGTTGGTTCATGATCGTCAGTCTCCTGTAGTTTTAAACGCAGGTTGGCCATATTTACTGCGTTATCGGCTTGCCGAACACTTTTCTTATTCACTAACTCCATCTCGGCTTGTAACTGCTCTCTCTTTAACTCCGTTAACTTCAACGTTGCGAAAGCGCATCTAAAGCCAATACTCCGTTTACTCCTACCGCTAACCTGTGTCCCAGAACATCAAACCGCATCGTCTTCAACCAGAAGAAAAGGCTTGACTTGCCGAGTTTCATCCTCAGCTTGGCATGGTATTCTTTTGGAAGACAGGAGTCAACACAGGAGGCGCTTACTTTCGATTGAGGTTCGAACCGTTGTAGAACCGTTGGTTAGCACTAGTACTTGGAATGATGATGTATGTCACTTTAAGGAGAAGAAGCAGGGCCAAGTCCTTAGACCCCAAAGAAAACCGTTGAGTACTGTAAGCAACAAAATTCGCTTGGAAGATCCGAGTGACGCGTTAACACCGGGATCAAAGGAACAACCATCCGGAACTGGATAACAATACTATTTACAAATGAATGAATGCCCATGTACAGTAATCATTCATCATTCATTCATTATACACATCAGCTAGAGGTGGGAAAACACCTCCGCTATTGTGCCGCAATACATGAAGGAAATACATGGTTGGCGGCATCCGGTTTCGGATTTGCCTGTCACTGTGGCCAGCCACAGGACGCCTGCGCCTACAGAGGGACCATGGATGGCTTGCGCTGCACCACCCACAGCTCCATCCACACACCCCAAATCCATTGTAAACCCGAAGGAATAAGACCGGGAGGCATGTGGATGGGAGCCACGTTTCATCAACGGAACCGGCCCACACTCCTTAAAAGGGAAACAAAAGCACACTGTATTTGGGGAATCAAGCGCACACAATGCGGTGGCTGGACCGTAGTCCGCTCCACACTGAGTGCATGGAACCATTCTTCGAGCCTAGCACGACCACAAGGACCGTGCACCCCGTCCCCTCTAGCAACGACCAACTGTCTCCTGGAGCCAGATGGACGAGGTAGTGGGTAACAGACATTTAGGCACCTTGTCAACATGCACATCAAGCGCAGCCACACCTGGATGTGAAACAACAGCCAATCATTCGAAATGCCGATATCGATTAAAGTAAACGCAAATGACGACCTAAATACTCGCTAAATGAGCATATAGAAGAAGTCAGTTATAAGTGAATCCGTGATAATTACAAATGTCCGAAAGTCATTTAAAAAATACCATGCGATAAAATTACGCAAGTTTACCACAATTTACATGAGCGACGTGTGCAAGTAAGGAGAAGATTATCAAGTACGCAGAACAAACCAAATAACATGCTGACGAGGGAGTTCCCGTAGATGTGATTTACTTAGACTTTTCTAAGGCATTCGACAGAGTCAATCACCCAGCACTTCTCCGAAAGCTTGCGGCCTATGGTATCCACGGATCCTTGCTCACATGGTTGGAAAGTTACTTAGACGACAGAAGAATCGAGGTAAGGATCGCCAACACCCACTCCGATAGCCTATGCGTCACTAGCGGCGTACCGCAAGGATCAGTTCTCGGCCTGTTACTCTTTTTAGTCTATATCAACGACCTCCCTGTCAACATTCAATCACCTATGCAAATATCCGCCGACGATGCTAAGATATGGCGAGCTATTCAGTCAACATCTGACTTTGTCTATCTGCAGGATGACCTGAACCGGATTCACGAATGGGCAGTAAACAACCAACTACCCCTGAACTCCGAAAAGTGTCACCTGTTGTCGCTGTGCAGTAACTGCAGCAACACATATCACCTGGGGCAGCGCGTTATAAAACAGGTGAGCAACGGAAGAGACTTAGGAGTCATCGTGCAAGAAGGTCTGGGTAATTCGCTCCAATGTTCAAAGGCAGCTAACGTAGCGAACTTAAACTTGAGGCTTTTGAGGCGTGCGCTCGGTACCTTCGAGCGGCAACTCGTGCCATTATTGATTAACGCCTACATTCGTCCCCACCTCGAGTATGCGGTGCAGGCATGGCGTCCGTGGTTAAAACGGGACATTCGTCTCCTGGAGCAACCACAAAGAGGAGCCACTAAGGCAACACGTGGTCTATCGGGCCTTAGTTATGAACTGCGTCTTCGTTCGATCGGTCTGTACTCCTTAGAATACCGACGACTTCGCGGTGATCTGATCCTCACTTACCGGATACTAAGAGAAGAGGACCATCCATGTAAGTCGCTATTAACATTATCTGCCGACAAACGATGCCGAGGCCATGCACTAAAACTTGTGACTCAATATTCCCGTTTAGATTGTAGAAAGTTTTTTTACTCTCTTAGTGTCTGTCCGCACTGGAACGCACTGCCATCGCATGTGGTGAACGCACCAAACATCGAGACATCCGAAAGACTATTGGACTTGCACTTACATGATACACATTATATAACGGTATGACAAACTGCAGTGTCTAACTTCTTGATATTTTTGTGTCACACCTGAAACTTTCGTTTTCTTCCATATGCCATCCTGTGGGTCTTGTAAAGTTATTGCTTTTTATCTCACCATACACTATTGAACTATTGAACTATTATCCACATTAAAAAGACCTAGTTTAAGTGTAAGTTAGTTTAGCCTAACTGCGGTGAAGAAGCATCATGAATGCAACATCAGCCTCAGCAAGTCGACATGTTTGGTAGGAGAAGGGCATATGGAGGGGAATTGTGATCGCAACCTCCGAATTATGTCTACACAACCTGCTCTCACTTGAGTGAGTTTAAGTGAAACTTGCCCTACTATTGGTCAGCTTTGCTGACCGTAATATTATGATCGCGGTTACTGGGGCGTAAAGCCATCAGGACAGGCTTTCACCGCACCGGACAGTGAAATGACCGCATGCGAAGTCCCATGAAACAGGTACGACAGCCGACAATATAGGGTAAGGTGAGAGGGTATGTCTGACAGTGCGCTTCACATAGTCGGTGGCCTTGTGCATTTAAGCCACAGTAGTGCGGTTGGGGAGAGCAAAGTTCACAGTCAGGAGTGTGGGACGACGTTGTACATTTAAAGAACCGGATCGCCTGACACAACATAATGTTTAAGGGCCTTCGTTTCGCTACTGCCATCCGTCGCGAACGTCAAATGTGCGATATACGGAAAAGTTTCGGTACAAGAGTAACGTGTCTAGTTATAAGCACTTCAAATCCCCGTCTGGAATACCGTCGGTAACTGGCGGGTGGTGCTAAGGGGAGGTAAAGGTATTGGTGGACAATGAATTTCTGGGTGGGGTTTACGTGTGACTTTTTTCAAATTCCGTATGGTCTTTTTATAAGCCAAGCCACCCCCCACTACAGAAACGAAAAATTGTCCATCGGTTCATATTCGGTAATATACGGTGCTAATGACAGAATTCAACCAGTTAAACCGGCAACTTCTCATGCTAGTATGAATAGTTACACGGTACTTACAGTAGTAGAGGAGAGTAGTTTGGCCGGGGCAAATCTTCGCAGACAAAGATAGAAGACATCCGCTGCCCCTATCGATTGAAATCCACGGAATGTGCAGATACATCGCTTGGTGACAGAATTGCTAGGAATGGGACTACAACTTCTGTTTTCCGATCAGCTCATCAAGGTAGGGAGGAGTGAAAATCAGCCTCATTGGCTACAAGAAGGAAATAAGAGGCCACCACCGTGATCGTTACGTGAGAGCTTGGTCGGTGTGAAGATTCCGGACTGCCTGTTCGCTTACTATCAGATCGAAACACCCACCAGCGCCATGCTCCATCTGACGTAGGGCAAATCACAAGAGATGAGTGGATGAACGACGCGTTGTCGCGAGGATAGGACAGCATGCAGAACTTAGCGGAATACTCATACAAATAGCGTGACAGAAGCCATGGCAGTGATGGGATCACCTGATTACGCTATAGCACTGAGTGTCTGACGCTCGTTTTGTTTGACCGGTATGTGTGTAGGCATATAAAATTATAGGTAGAAATTCGCCACGTCTACAATGTCACATCTATACCTATAACATTCAACCCCCCTACTACTCTTCTGCATATAAAATTAGCCGCACGCAAGTGGTGGTCATTTCGTGCTGCCCCCCCCCCCAGCGCCCTGCTTGCACATCTTGTCCTACCGCCAGGACTGAGGTGTCCGACAGAATGCAACCCTCACCACCCCCCCCCGCGAAACCTGAGGGTGCAGATTTGGACTTCTGTTGCTTCAGCTTAGGCTCACAAATTAGCCGACATGTTTGGAGGATGGATTGACAAAAAACAGCCACTTTCAATCTGGCTAACTGAGAAGTGGCTTTTGTGATGTTAACCATTCCAGTTTGCGTGCCACGCAAAACAAGAATCGGAGAAATTTTTGATTACAATCAATTTACCTGTAAGTGGCTTTTGCGAATGTCCAGATTCCAATAGGGGACCACTGTTCACGCCTTCCTTCCATAGGGACCACGTCCAGCCACCCACCACGAGAAGAACCGAGGGTTCAAATGGCGACCGAGCAATATACGAAATCGGTCCATCGTGTTGTGTGGCATAGAACTCTGGTTTTGGGGTCTGCACCTTACCGGTATCCTGATCCTTTTGTGGCATCCAGTCTACATAGACCAAATCCCCATCTTCCGTGCCCACATACAACATTGTGCTTGCGCCTTGCAACGGCTTATTCTTGATGGCGTTGGCTCGAGCGGCCGGGTTGTTGCGTTCCTCGGCGTTGGCCAACAAGATTCGGCGGTCACCTTGAACTTCCTGCAAGGACAGAATATCGTGCTAACTTTAAACTCTCTCATCAAGTTCAGTTCGACAATGTTCAATTAATCAGGTCTTACTTTTCCACGATGCATGATTTCCCGATTGCCTTGATACGAGTAGCCCACGAAAATCATCCGAAACTCCTCGAGCCAGTAGCTTTCTTGTGGCTGACTCATTTAGGACGTCACTTGCATCATTTAGAGTGAAATACACGCTTTCCATATCCTCTACCCTTTCACGGTGAGGTATAACTCCAGCAATGTTGAAGAAACGTTTACAAACTAAAAATGAACTATTGCGTCCCAAGGGATCGACTGGAATTACGTGGATATCCAGCTGTTCCGCGCAACTTGACCCGTTAGTATGCGTACCCTAGGGTGTGTTTGTGTATCCGTGGCTACTCCGTGTAGATTACCAAGCACATAAACTTGAGTAACAGTTTCGCACTCCAAAACCGAATTCATCCTCGTCTGAACTTATCAGATAGTCGGAGTTAGGAGTGGAACTCTGAACATTCTAATTTCCGGTTAGTGTCTAAATCACTAGACCACTGAGATTTGAGAGCAACGTTTGGCACAGTCGGTAGAAAATCAATGTTTCGCATACGGACCTCAGCGGCCTAATGATCAAGGCACTAGCCATCAACTACTTAGTCCGGAATTCCACTTCTAACTCCGGATATCTCCATCTGATAAGGTGTAATCGGATATGACCCTACTGTTCGGAATGGCCGATGTCTACTTCAGACTGAAGTAACACCTAATCCAAACACAGTAGATTCCCCAAAGCTCAACATTGGAGAGGTTGGTTCATTTCGACAACAAGCATGGACTTCATAGAGAAACGAGGAAGTAATACAAATTGGTGAGTCGGAGGAGGTATCAGTGTGAAGTGCGCATAACATATTTTATTTGTGTTGAAACAGTGGAGTGCATGAGCCTAAAGACGAAGCTTTGCGAAGTTATATAAAATGGCACTTCCCTAAATGCCCGGATGCGGATGGTTACGCGACTCTGAGAATACCAGTGCAAGGAAGAGTGGTACTGGACCCACCAAGAAAACTATTTTAGGCGAACACATCTAAATTGTCTTCCGACCTGTTTGCCTCACCCTATACAACGTCCTCAATTGCGACAGTTGAGTTAGGAGAACCACTTGTGGACCTATGACCCCGTCTAATCCGACTGCCCGTTACAAGGGTTGCAACCATAACTAACATTGATCTGTTCTCTATTAGCGTCAGTAGCACATTCAAGCCACCAGTTAACGCTGTTGTTGAACTACCATAATGTCACCATAACCTAACCACAGATTACATAGGTTGTCCATGAGAAATGATGGCGTGTAACGCAGCAGTGTGTTTAACACATCTGGGTTGCACTCACTTTGATGCAAAATTTCGTCGGATTGTGATCGCCCCCAGCCTCACTCCTAAACAAATGCACTCGCAATAGCGGTTTCCACTTCAAATCTAGTGGGAGAAATGTCGTTGGCACATTGCGGGGGCACGTAATTTGATCGCGGGACTTATCCACAGCCAGGGGTGATTTGTCCGGACGGATATCCCAGAACAGTATCTCACTGTTCAGCCCACTGGTTATCAGCTGAACACACTTTAAGGCCGGATTCTCAAAACAGTATCCCAAACGGTTGATCTCCAAATGATCCGGCATCCATTTTAAGTCGAGAATAGCGGACGTATGTGACGCCTCTATGTTGCTCACAGCACAGTAGGGGCTAACGGGAACTCGGTTCGGATCGGTATCATCAAAGGAGAATAGAACGGGTTTGTTTTTCGCTTTCATCTTGGCCTTTACTGATCGAAGGTCTTCCATGTGACTCTCAATATCCCACAGTACCACAGTGCCGTTGAAACATCCGCCTGCCACGATATGCGGGTCTGTGGGATTAAATTGGAAGCACATGATGTCTTCCGGAGCTTCGAGCAACAATTGAGGTTGTATGGGATCGGCGAAACTCCACAGAATTATGTTTGTCGATGTGAGTAGAATCCTGGAAGCCTGATCCACTCGTTGATCGTAGCCATGTCTCTCCCCCACAGACATGGCGACAATCCCCTTGATGACTGGATGCCACTGAATATCAGTCACTGCTTTGTCTTTGCTAAATTTGAGATCGGTGAAGGAGAGAAATTCCTTAAAGGTATTATCTGCTTTTGTATCATAAGTTTCGTCACCTACTGCTAAGTTTTCAAAGTCATCTACCAAAAAGTTGTACATCATATTTTCTAGTAATCCCTGTTCAAACAACGGAAAATACTTGCCAATATCCTGTAATGGAGCATTTGAAAAATAATACGTCTGTAGCTCGTCAATGGTGAACATTCTGGGGACATATTGAGTGAACGCATTCCGCGGATACTTCCAATCTGTGTTGGTCCCTCTTTCGCATGTCATTTGCGCATTGCACACAGCTTTGTCTAGCTCCATTATAGGTATTTCCGCTGGCTTCTCTTGGATCGAGGTCACACTTCCACTGGCCGACTTGTCTGTGGCATTATAATCACCGTATGTTGTAGGAGCGCCAAACTCGCGCCTAGGGCGTTGGTAAATTGTATGCACCTTCGAACGGGACTCAATCACCGAGGATTCCTGTATTTCTTTTTCTGAACCCAGATCGATCCATGGTCGCTGAACCAGTGGTTGGTGCTCGGCAGCAGAGTCGCTGGCTTCGGCGTCCTCCTCATCGTCGACGACGTCGTCGTTCATCTCATCGATTGGTTGCTCGGAGTCATCTTCCACATGGCTCAGAATACCGTGCTTTGCCTCCTCCGATAATACCAGGACAAAATTTTCCCCGAATTTGTAGTCTGCATCATACACTAGTAAAATATCCTCTCCCGAATAATTGGTAATGGCAGATCTTTGGACACTAAAGTCGGACACGGCTGCCCGCATATGTAGATCTTTTAGAATATCCGCTTTGGGAACAAGGGTAGTTGGGTTGGATCGCGTGACATTCTCGTCACAAACTATGTTAAACAACTTTTGCGTCGGACTTGACAGAAATATAGGTACGCAACCGCGGGGTAACGCGTCTTTAGTGAACAAGTGAAAAGTCGCTTGACTCTCATTTTCTGGGTTTGTGGTTGTCTCAAACGACGACGTGTGCTTCTTTATGCTAGCAGATTCGATCTTATGTATGCGTGAAAGACGCTTTCCTCTCAAAGGACTGCCCAACTTCTGAGTCTAAACGTGATAGAAATGAGGACACAACGGGACACAATCACCTTTGCTGCTTCTTCCATTGAAGTCTGAGAAAACTCCATCCTCATGCCTGAACACTGGTCTACTCACAATTATTTCTGAAAAATGAACACAAAGTAGAAATCATGAGCGATAATGTTTCCTCATCAGTAGCAGTTGTGGGCAATGTTTCGGCTACGCAGATCTTAAAAGGATAGTAAAGAATCAAATCTGTTGGATCAACAACGCTATTTTCTAACTGATGGGTGGGCCAAGAACTGGGAGTTTGTGCGAAAACGCTTGATGCGGACTGGTGAGTAGAGAACAAATCAGACGCCACCAACGCGATCTGACTGTTGACCGCTCAGACAACAGGGGGATTTACTTGAGTTTCACCAAGCTCATCATCATCATCATCGTCAACACGTTAGCTAGAGGTGGGAAACACCTCAGCTACTGTGCCGCAATACAAGGAAAAAAGGAGAGAACAAAAAAACAACTGGTGAAAGCTGGCCGAGCTACCGGTAACCGATGGGCATCTTTCCGGTAAGCTACCAGCCGGCTGCTGTGCACCCAAAAAAATTATTATGCAAAATTATATAAGGCTAAGTAATGAGATCGTGGTTGGAGGGGGAGGCTAAGAGGGATGGGGTGGGACAAAGAAACTCACAGCACGAACGCCACTGAGGTCGACTCCCAGCCATATCAGCAAGTGTGTCCAACCAAACGTGTTCATCGTCTTTCGGACCCCAGCCACGGAGCCGAGACGCTCCAACCGAGGCCAGCTCAGAAGTGAGCGCCTTCATTCCTCTCGACCAAGTCATCGCTGGGCCACCCTCCTCTTCTTCCATCCACACCCCCGGCGCACAAACAACGCAGGTCGCGGGAGTCGGTGGGCTGGCATGCGTAACACGTGGCCAAGCCATCGGAGCCTGATGCGTGAAATAACGGTGCTGAGCGGTTCATTTCCTTTTCCTGTGCCATAAACAAGGCGTCGAACACGCTCGTTACTCACGCGGTGTTCCCACCAAATGTGAGATAAATTACGAAGGCACCGGTGGTCGAACGTAACTAGCCTCTTCAGGTCCGCTGCTTTAAGCGGCCAGGTTTCACAACCGTACGATAGGGTCGAACGTACTGCTGCATTGTACACTCTACCCTTCAGGGCAAGAGTGATGTCGCGCCGGCGCCATAAGTGGCGAAGGTTAGCAAAAGCGCCCCGAGCTTTTGCTATACGATTCGTGATTTCATCTTCATTCCCACGGGCGCTGATAAAACTTCCCAGGTAGTTGAATTTTTGAACGACTTCTAGCTGATCCCCACCAAGGGTCAGCGTAGGAGGCGGTCCAGCCCAATCTTGGAGAAACGCTTTGCACTTCGAGGGTGCGAAGCAAAGCCCGAAGTGACGGACAGCTAGTGCTAATCTATTCAGTGCCGCTTGGCACGTTTGTGAGCTGTCACAGATGAGGGCAATATCATCAGCATACTCTAAATCAAGAAGTCGTTCTCCTGGGAGTAGCTCCACACCTTCTAAGTCGTGTCCTGTGAACGCGATTTCCATGACTTCGTCAACAGCGAAGTTGAAGAGGAAAGGTGACAGCGGGCATCCAAGCTAGGCTCAGTCAGACTGCCAGCACCACATTAGTTCACCCAATGTGAACGGAGCGCAGCTCGTTAGCAAACAAGCGAGGAGCGGATTGGCTCGGACAACGAGCCTGCGTCTGCGAGCCCAGCTGACCTGGGGTCAGCGGGTAGGCCGCTGAAATCTCGCCCACACAAGCTGACCGAAATTGAACTGAACGGAATGACATCTTCGAATTGGTGGATCCTAGCATGAACCTAGCTCAATGTGGCGCCAGACAGAGCAGCCGTGATGTTGGCGGAACGCAGGAAACGAACAATATATATATATATATATATATTCAAATCGGAGTACAGATAATGTGCTGGCTCACCTAACAATCTCCTCGTGGTGCCAGCTGGGCGGTTCCGGAATTTCCCGTTCTGGCGAATGGTTCGGCGGCAATGTTTCGGGACGTGGTGGGTTTTTGCCCAACAAGCGTTCTCCCTCTAAAAAGCCACAAATGTCCGTCTTACAACACTGCGAAGTGGCGGCTGTGACGCCGCTAAATAAAGGCACTGCCCCTTGTCTCCTTTGGAGACCTCGTACACTGGCAAGTAATCCGAGCGTCGGATCTTTCCTCTGAATTCAGGAGTGTTGGGACCCTGGCATGGTTTATCGTCATCCGAAAGGCGTATGAACTGAGTGTCCAGTCCCCGGCTCTCAAAGGGTGCGAATCCCTCATCTCGTTCTGCTGCCTTATGGGTTAGGCCCTTTGGCCAAAGACTCGGGGTGTTGGTCCCCTACGACAACCTATCTACCTCGGCCTAGGCAACCGGGTAGTATCTCGTCTACTCACGAACCATGGACTTACAACTACAACGAACAACGCATGCAGACAGTAGGATGCAGACGAGAACCGGCATGTGAAAAGGAGTGCGAATGGACTGGTCATTAACTTCTTTTTGCTTTATGGATGGCCTGTGTTCGTAATGTCGGATTTTTTATCACTCCGACTTCGTCTCGTCGTTCATCACTTCCCAAGCGGTCGCAAATACTGTCCTCCTGCGTTATTCGCCTCTAAACCTTTGGATTTATTCTCACAGAGACCTACGTGCTGTTGTTCGTTTTGGCTCCGCGAGCTCCTACCACTGTTCACCTATTGGATCTATCACTCGCGGATCACCGGCAAACTGTGCTCTTGAAACTCCGAAGTCAACCGTATTTGAACCTTATCGAAGGAGTTATTTTTTCTCTCGTCGCACAAGAACTCTTGTGGACTTATTTAAAAGATCTTTTTGAGAGTCACCCGATCAGCTTACTAACATTCCGTCAAGTCGCTGTACAAAGCGACAGTCGTCAATTTGATCCGCCCTTGGAACAAGCACTGTCGTCATTAGACAGTATTTTCCAAGGCATCTTGTATTGCTTCAATCCTACGCTGCATCGCTGCCTACCCACTTACCGTCTGGATCGACAGCACGCACGTCGCCTATCTATCCTAAGGAACGTGTGACCCATCTGGCCGCGACACGCCTGAACCCTCTGACCTCAAACCAGCGCCGATAGCCACGCAACGGTGCGTCAGTATCTCCATCCTCTTGCTACCCCTTAAAACAGCACGCCGACTGTGAACATGTCTCATATGAAGAGCAAATGCGAATCATGTGCTAAAGTGGTAAAATAATGGTCTGGTGTGTACCATGTTTTTAAAACAATATCACACTACCTGCCTTGGGAAAGGGTCAACAAAAACAAACACCACAGAGGCGTTTTGGTTCTGCCAAGTATGCAGTTCTATCCCATTTGTTAGCTGTCTATCTGTGCTACTGAAGAGGTGTGAAAGATTAACCGAAGCGGTCGAGCAACTGGTGGGCGCCAGAGTTAAACCCATGGAAGGTAACGGACCTGCACTTGTGAGTAAAAATAACACCCCGAATTCCACAGTCAGGCCGAAGAAGCGAACCAGGCGTCCCAAGCTAACCCCAACTAACCAGCCTCCAGCAGTATCAACTCCATTCTCTCGCCCTCCTATAAGTAAAAACATTGTCTGCAGCGCGCCTGCCTTGACTTCTGTACTGTGTGCTGCACCTAGTAGTCTGTTCGCTACACACGAGACCGCAAGCTACAGTCAACCAGCAATAGTGAACAACCCAGCAACGTACGCATCGGTTTCCGCCAAGCAAACACCGAAAAGAGCACCGGTAACCTTTATGCCCGGACTAGAGAAAACAAAAGTGTCACGGCAGGGATGGCACTCATCAGTGCCGTTCACAAATTCACCAAAAACACCGGATACTAAGCCTCCAACTGCAAAAGCAGTAGCCACCAGGCGCAATCATGGTGCACTAAACTTTGTATGAACAAATGTCCCCGAATACAAACCCATTACAAGTAAGGGTAAGTTGACGGACGATCGACATCAGTGGGGTTCCATCTGTACGTCGATCGGAGTCCATGCTAATCCCACGACATTAAAAAGAATCTCGCGCCACCCAAACGCGTTGCACTACGGCGAACCCCGGTTACTTCGGGTAACACTAAACTCGGCGGACGAGATTGAGGCCGTTCTGCCGTCTGCGAATCGTCTCTGCAACGACTCAATTGGAGTGCGCATACTACCCGAAATCCCATGGAACATTCAGTGGATCGCGCTAACAAAGAGAGGTACAGAAAAAGTTAAGATAAGAAAACAGTGATTGCTCACGGTGTTCCTGCGCTCTTCCGACGATGCTCAGATGCACGACCGCGAGCAATGGTACTACATCTGGGAGGTTCTTTCTCTCGAAAATGTGGTGGTCACCTCGTTGACAACGATCCCCACATCACCAAACTATAAGGAGTGCGGTCCCAGGCTGTTGCAACTACTGCTACAGTCAGAACTAACGGCACAAACCCTACTAAAGAATTGGACTAAATTCCGCTGCAGGTTGCCAACAGAAATTCGTCTGAAAACAGCGGGAACACCAGCACCTTCTAATAACAATTCAGCAGAGGCACAACTCTTAATGAAAACGCCAACTGCAGGACCCGACTCGGGGACGGTTTCAACAGGAGCCATAATATCCGGAGGGACACAGCAGAGCACGAGCAAACACCGGAACCCGGGGCATCTGATACCTGCTTATATTTCAAATACTTCTCGAGTGTATGCAACCTATCCAAAAAACGATTAGTCGCCGACCCTTTATTGGTCGGCGTAAACTCACTTGCTTCATCCATCCAATTTAACACACTTTTGGTCTCCGAGAAGCTCTGATGCATGTACACAAACGCCCAAGGTCTACTCAGCAAATTAGCTGAATTAAGACTTCGACACGCGTCAGCAGCTTCGGACCTCATCGCTGTCACCGAAACGTGATTGCGCTGCGAGATAACGGATGCCGAAATCGAGCTAACAGACATGCCCGTTGTCCGGAAGCATAGAGCCAGCAAAGGTGGTAGGGTAGCCCACTACCTTCGTAACAACATGCAATGCGAACCCATAAACGATTCGGAAACCTACGTACCTGACGTCATTTGGCGTAATTTCCGTCTGAGAGGGAACCATCTTGGCCT